CTTGGGGGCTGCCGGGTAGTCCTGAAGAGAAATCTGAGAAGCCATTTTTATCGTGAACTTTGCCTTCAAATTCACGACAGCATTGACACCGGGAGAGTATTTCTCTTGTATCTCTTGAAATTTCGTGGCTGTGATGGTCGAATAATCAGAGTTCTAAGCCGCTGCCAAATTGTTTTCTAGTTCCCTTGAAATTACAGGCGTTATCTCGTGACGACAACTCCTACTGTTAAAAATATGGCTTTTTTCCAAAAAAACTTTGACGAACAGCAACTAAACGCCTGCCTATCCATGGCAAATCGCTGGCGATCCTCATATGTATCAGAACTTCCGTACTTGACTGTTTACCATGAGAAGTGATGAAATAGTGAAATAAGGGCCGCAGCTCGAACATGTCACTTTAGTTGGGTTTGAGAAGAAGCGGCTGAATGGTTGGCACGCGAGACGGGAGAATCGGTGAGTTTGTGCTCACGATCTTCGTCGACGAATGTAATCCATCGAATCCTGGAAGCCTGCTCGTGAAGATGTCGAACGGCGTTGTTCGATAGCGCTAGGAGGACTTCACGAGCTCCCTGACAACTAAGGTGTGATACACCATGTCGTGACTTTGGTAGCTCCGTGAAAAAGGTTTGCATCGGCGGTGGAACCACGCGCAGTCCGGTCGTTGGACTCCTGGTTCCCATCACCCCTGAGGGTAGGTTGAGTGCGCTTGCGAATGCTCGGAGGTGTATTACCTCATTCCTGACTCGAGAACAGGTTAGGATCTTCCAACCATCTGACCAAGATGGCGGCTGATGCGAGGACGGAAGGTGGCAAAGGACTCGACTCTGGAACGTGGCATGTACAAGCTACCACTTGCCTGTCCTATCTCCTCCTGATTTCTCTATTTCTACAGGAGTTTCATCTGCTTAAAAATCCGATTTTTGGGTAGCACGTTCTATTGTCATACATATTACTTTATTGTTTATATTCGTTTTTCACAAGACAAGCACTAGAAAGTTTACAAGATTCGCAAGTTCTAGAAGAATAAGGAGAGCCATATTCACTGGCTTTAAGCGAGCGGTTTTCTCTTCGTCGTCCTCTCCTCTAGAAAAAATATCAAATTATATTGCCTTGACAATGTGATTCATTTAGTTCGAGACTTACCCCTTATCCTTCTCGGTCCTGGTCTTATCCTTTTCAACCCTGGAGCGAAAGTAAGAGGGTAACGGTATGTAAGGCAGAAGTAGTACAATGACCAGTGAGGCCGTTATAAGCGCCAGATTGACCATAACGTAAACACCTGTGGAATCGACTCAGACTTTCATGATCCACGAGGCGTTTTCGGATTTTGTATTCAAAAGACTACATGTTGCTTGCTATTGGTACAAATGTGAAACCTACCTATCGCTGGTAACTCATCAACTTTGGGCAATACGTCAGCAAGAATTCCGAGAATGAAAGTTAAGGACATTATATTTGTCAAGGTCATACCCAGCTGAAAATGGGAAAAGTTAAGTAATTCACGAAATAAGCAGTGCGCAAAGGGTTTATTCAAAACCAGAAATAAACGTGAGGGTTAGTCAAAAGGATAGCTCTTCGACGACGAAGGACGAAATCGATCCCTTTTCTGGGATGCATTCCGCATCAGGATTTCATTCTGGAGCGCAGTTGCTTCTGAATCCATATGTGGCCTATACAACGACTGGCGGTGGGCAGGTAATGTACACGTCAGTGTTTCACTATCACACACACGGTTTCGGGTCCCGTATCGAAATCCGCTTAAGCCAGCCTTGTATCACTTCGGGGTCGGCTATTTGGTACCAGGCTCGTCTGGGAAGATGAAAGCCTTGACTTCTACATCGGCTGGCTCCCACAAGTCATTGTATAGCCCACATACGCATTCAATAGACTACTACGATTCTGAGAAGTTGAATGCGGAAGCGCATCGCTTAGACGGCATTAACCAACGCCCGAAAGCTTTATCTTTACCCTTCCTTTTAAGAAACTCTAGAAACGGTTTGAGATAGTGTTCAATCAATGTGATTTTTGTCAGAATGTGACGAAAACGTATTTAGTTTTCCACTCTTACTGAGGGATTTGAGGGATCAAGGGACCCTAAAATACTTGGTGTTGATTGAGCGAGAATCGACCTGGTATTTGAACCACGAGTTAGTCATGCGCCAGAGGAGCGGCTTGCTGTTCTCCTAACCCTACCCCGACGCTTTTAATGTTTAGTCATGAATATCCTTCCTGCATACTTACCTGCGACATTTTGCTACCGCTCAGAAATAGTCCAAGGATACAGAGGACATTAATGATGAAAGACGGTGTGATGACGATTGCGATATAAAATGCAGGATTTCTCTTCATAAAGAGATCGAAGCTGCCCTGAAACATTGGAGACTTCTGGGTACCGTTACCGTACTCTGAATTCACAAAGATTCGTTACCGTATTCTGATTATTCTCAGATGAAAGTGCTAGGAGACTCTTAACTCACTATTTCAACGATAGATCCATCTTGAAACTCGATTCGCTCTAATCCTGCACTCAGAGATATCACTTGCCATTCGCCATTACCCTGAAGAAATATCAACTTTTGGGTTGTCAGCTTGCTTATTCCCACGTAATTTCATCACTAGAGCATTATCTTACTATCTCTCTTATTTATAAAGCAGTAACTTGGTGTGTCGGTTTGTCGGTTTGTGTGTTTGTCTGTCTGTCCGTCCGTGAAACTTTATGATAACGATAGAGGTAGTGATACGGAAAGCTCAGCTTCATTCTACATTTCCTTCTTATATATAAAGCAGTAACTTGGTAAGTGGGTCATTGCAGTAGACTGAGTACTGCGCAGGGGTGTAATGTGCCGTGAAATGGGAACTTCAAAACTATGATTTCGATCTGCACTGGCATCATGCTATGTATGTCTACACAAAATTGGAGGTGATAATGTAGTTGAGAAAGCTTTACTTTTTAATTATTGAGTTAAAGCGGATATAAAAGGGTTGCCCCTAGCTACATGTTCCAACTGCCTTTCAAAAGTAAGGAACGAGGCTCGCCATAAGCCGGGCGACCCGGTTGGTATAAACATAAATCCATCAAGTCTGCCTGTCTGTTTGTCTGTCTGTTTGCACAGAAATTCTATATAACCTGAAGAAGCACCTGCAGAAATCGCGTCAGGTGTAGTACGGGTTGGGCATAAGACAAGAACAAAAAAGCTCATGCGAGTTCAGCGAAGCTCTGCCCACATGGGGCAGAACATGCAAAGGAGTGGGTGGTTTTAACGGCATAACCTATTATTTAGCTTTATTTATTTATTATTTTTAACAGCTCAAACGTTGGGAAAAAATGAGGTAATGTAAAATATGAGGAAATCTGGCGGAATTAAGAAGCAAGATGATAGGTCTCGACCTTGTCAAATGTGTTACATATCTAGAGATCCCGTTGGAATCTCCAGAAATGTTATAAGTACACGAGAGGCTACTTAGTTTTCTTTCATAGTATTTCTATGGCAACGTTCCGAGCATTCCAAAAGAATCTGAACCCTTGGAAAATTCCGATGAAGTTTTTCCGTACCCCTGGTATTTGTGGGGAACCTGAATGATCCAACCCTTAACTATTCAGTCTGTCGATACATCGCATAAGTGAATGATCCTTCCAGAAGGGTGAAATAGGAAATGCTGTGGACTTCTTCTACTGTTTTCAGTTAACAAAACTACGGAAATTGAGCGATGATATAAACAGAATGATTAGCAAAGAATATACCATATCTTTGAGTGGTGAAGCTATTTCGATTGCTGGAGGGATCACCATGTTTATACCATATGCTGTAGACCGGAACGAATGTGTCATCACCTTGATGGAGCATGTCTGGCTGTCGAATGGAAAATCGCGTACCTTAAACAGATTTTGTGAATCACAACTAATTTTTCTTTCTCAGTATCCTGACGACTATGAACCACTGGGGTCTGCTCTCCGGAACAAAATTTCTCCCAGAAGTTCGAAAGTTAGGTTTCTCCTATGAAGGTGGTGAAAACCTGTCACTTTATTCTTCTTAACCTAAGTAAGACCCCTGTATTTGTTACGTGTGAAAGTTAGACGGGGCCGAGTCAACCTGCGACATCGAACACTTTATTCATGATCCTAAAGCAACATACCTTGATGGAACACAAAACGGACGTCACTGTGGGTACAAAGAATATCAGATGTCCGGTGCTGTTCAGCTGAAAGCATTTGCTTTATCTAACGATCTAATTACTCTTCACAAAAACTCACCGAAACAAACTTCTTGTACTCCTCGCGAAAGTCTAGAGACGATTCTCTACAAGTAAAGAAATTCGAACTCACTTTATAATCGTTTCCATAGTAGAGAAGTGAGGGGTGACAGCAAGAGCGGGTTTTTTGTAGGTTTCAAGAGTAATTGAAGAAGCAAAACGTATCGCTACTTGGCCATCCGTCCTGTCTTGTGCACAATTATTTTTTATGGATCAGCCATGCAATCGCCTAACATTTAGATTAGTTAGCCAATTTGTAAGGTTGGCAAAAAAGCTCTGTCACGAAAATTTTGAAAATTTCATTGGTCTGGAAACCTTTTGAAATGAAATGGCTTCCATTTTGCCACATGACTTTCTTGCCAGCCATATTGTATGCACTCTGAGCTGATGCCGGTATCACTAGATCTTCTTTTCTGGTGTACGTTCTAGGTAGGTGACCTCCAGTAGAGGTCGAAGTTACTCGCTTGGACTCCGATTATAGAGGCGAAGCAGATGATAAGGCGTGCTAACAACAACGCTATCTTCCCACCCCATTATTCACTCTTCTCAGGCGTCAAGGATGACTTTAGAGGAGTATGTGCGTGTGGGAAAATAGAAAATGGAAATACTGAGTACTATATGGGATTATGTCGGAACAGTTATCGAAAAGTAAATTTATCTAAACTCACGCCTGAGTTACTGTCACGTCTGGAATCCAGACATCTTCTCGGCTCAAGTAAGTTCTGTCTATACCGCAATGTTCCATCGGATCCCACGTAAGACGTTCATCGTCCCAGTCCTAAACTTGCTTATCGTCTTGCATAGAAGAGGCGTTTGCTCAGAAACATCACGGTTCGAACGTATTCCACATGAAGCGTTTAGTGTAGATGCTACCAGGTCCTTTTTTGATTACGTTTTTTGTCTGATGTTTTCCTCTTTCTTCCCCCTTTCCCATTTTTCCATTTCAATTTTTTGAATTTGGCTATTATTGTTACTATTCGCTTCTGTGGCATTCCATCCTATGTGACCGAACAATCAAATAAATTCTTGTAACTGTAGCTCACCAACTGATATTCGAAGATAAAATCAGTTTTCTGTTCGGGTTCAGCCTGGAATCAGCAGTAGGAGTATAGTTCTTTCACACAGGGTATGAGAGGTTGGTCGCTTACCATGCGCTTCAGCTTCAGAAAACCCAGAGACAGATCGACTTCTAACCGTGGGATATCAACATCACTTTCTAAAGCATTTTGGGCAGAAGAACTTTTAGCACTTATTGAATAATAATTATTATTATAAATGGATTAGGAAATGAACAAGAACAATAAATTCAACGAAGAAAACTTTCTCGAGTAAAATAACACACTGATTACTATGTTAGGGAGTTTCGGATCGTAATTTTCCAACAATTTCTTCTTGAGCAACGTCTGTTCACGTAAAAAGTCGGTTCGATCTGAAAAAAAAAACGGTGAAAGCCAATTTGAAGATCCTTCGAGGAGAGTCATCTAGGAACTACTGAACACTTCGATTTTTTTTAAAAACCGTTTTTCATCACAGGTAGGTGTTAGGGCAACTGAATTTGGAAGACGGCTAGACTTATAGGATATAGACGGGCGGTTTTAAAGGTGAAGGACAAAGCCTTCTGTCGTCAATTGATCTCGTGTGAGGGATGTTCGACCACTTTCGACTTCTATTCAGAATCGTGGGGCACATTTAATGCATATGGGCCTATACAACGAGTTGCGGTGGACAGCCGACGAACATGTCAGTGCTTTTATCCTTATAGGCGAGTCTGGTGTCAATTAACCGACCCCGAAGGGATGGAAGGCTTGGCTGGTTCAGGCAGATATCGATCCGAGACTCGAAACTGGGACCATGCGTATGTGGTGATGCGCCCACTTACCGCTACATCATCTGCGTTCGGTTCCACGAATACATTTGTTAACCCATTGACGACACCTCGACGCGCATGCGCGTCAAGCCTTGCAGACCGCGAGGGACCGAGTGACGCGCATGCGCGTCAAGGTTTTGTCACCACTCCTTTTTTGCGAGATGGCAACTTTTTACAATGTTTCTGTGTTTATTCAATATACAAAACATTAAGACTTCTACAAACAACGTGGTCCATGATTTGAGCGAATATGGTCTATTCCAGCAAAGATTTTCCAAACCTTGTAAAAGTCTCACCTAAAACTGAATTGACTTCTTTTTCAGGATAAGCACAT